CTGCAGGGGGCGGGCGGTCGCTCGCGGCCCCTGGGGCGCGATTTGGCGCCGCCGCCGCGTCTCCTGCAGCGGGGTAACCACATAACAGCTCTGTGGCTCTACCCACCGTCAGTAGGACGATTGCCGGGACTACCATCTTCTCCATCTTCGCCGCCGATCTGCTAATATTGGACTTGCTGGTGGCGGTAGCAGCGGCGGCGGGTGCCTCGCTCCCCCCCCTCCCGCACCCCCGCCCTGCTCCCCAGCCTCCCCACCATGTCCTAGAAAAGGTGAGTGCAGCGACAGTCACTTTGCGCTGACAGCGCGGGAGGGGGCCCGGGGCGCGCAGGGGCGGCCCTGGGGACCGCGAGATCGGCGCTGAGAGTGCGGGTTTGTGCACCGATGTGGGGAGGTGGGCTGCGGGCAGGAGGCGAGGTGCCCGCCGGGCAGCCTCGGGCCAGGGGTGCCAGGAGGCGCAGAGCGAGCGCGGCAGCTGTCCCTGCTTGGTTCTAACCTAGATTTTGCAAGAAACTGACATCCAGGGCAAGACCGGCCCTCCGTGGAGGAGGTAAAAACTTAGTAAAAGAGACACGTCCAGCTCCTTTAATAATGAATAACTGGGCAGCGCAGGCTGAGCCGCCGTCTCCTCGTGTGCCCGGGCGCCGGGTCCGGGACGCCTCTCCGCTGCCGGCTGCCGGCTGCCCGCCGCCCGCCGCCCGCGCACAGCCCCCCTGCGATCGATGCCCGACTGCTCAGGGGGTCTGGAGCGCTCGTCACCGCTGGCCCCGCGGGAAAGTTGGGCCACTTGGCGGGGACGCCCCGCTGCGGGGGCGCCAGGGCCCGCTCTGCGTCGAGGACTGCCGGACACTGGAGTCCGGGGTTCGGACCCGCGCACGCGAGCCGCCGCGGGCGTCCCCGCCGCCCGGGGGTTCCCTATCTGGAGTGGCTGAGAGTTCCCTACGTGGAGTCTTCCTGGGTTCAGGGTTGGGGAGCTCGGTTAATTGTAAGGCGAGGAGGGGGCCTTTGGGCACGGGTGACCCTGCCCCCTAGGACTTTGGCGGGTGCGGGACCAGGGTGAGGAAGGCCACCGCCGCCGGGCTGCGGGTCGCCGGGGGTCGAGGGGCCAGATTGGGGGTGTACGTCACTGCTGCTGACTTTGGGCCAGCCGGGAGCCTGACACCCAGCTTCGAGAGCGGGTCCTCCAAGTCCGCAGAAATCAAAGTTACGAAGCTCATCCTTTTGGTTCGTAACTACAGCGGTAGGGTGGGCAGGAGGAGAGTCCAGGTGGGGGCGGTTGGAGGGAAACCGAAATTTCCTCCTGTAGACGCTGCATCCTTAGAAAATAGTTCGCTTCCTCTCCTCCTGTAGGTTGCTCCCGATAATGTGCACCCCCCTCCCACCCACTCCAGAGAAGTGAATATCCTCGATGGTTAGCTTTCTTCCATTTGAGCTAATGGAAAAACCCAATCCTAAAGCAGTAAATACAGCAACAAAATTATAAGGAAGGAGAGCAGCTGCTCTGGACCCTGGCTTGTTTTTTTTTGTTTTTTTTTTTTTTTTTGGTGGGGGTTGGGGTGCGAGAGAGGGTATGTTAAAGGGCTTTGCCTGCGGTGGAAATCACCCGCTTTCCCCCACCCCCCTGCACGTTTAAAATAAGGAAATTCTAATTGAGTGGGAACGATCCTCTCACTCGGGGGCAGCGGACGCTGCGACTGCTTCGTTAGAGGTAACTCGCAGGACCTAGGAAAGGGGCGAGAAAGAGGAACCTCGGGAGCTTCGGGGTCGCGCCAAACCCACCGGGAGCTCCCGGCGGCGCACTGACCCAGTGGGCGGCGCCTGGGCCGGGCGGCCGCTCACCTGGCGCTGCAGGTGGGGAGCTGGGGTGGGGGGGGGGTGGACACCACCTAGACTGCTCTCGGGAAAGCCGGCTGCTTCCGCGTCACCACACTTTGCACGTCTCCCCCAGACATCCTGGGGTCAGGCTGGAGGAGAGCGGGTGGGCGTGAGCAAGTTTGGGGCGGCGGAGCGAGCGGGGCGCGCGACAGCGTGCGAAGGGTGTCTGGTGCCTACAGTCGTAGCCGCTGCCCTGCACCCCAAGCACCCGCCGATGCTGCGGCTTTAAGGGAGCTGCGGAGTCCAGGCTGTGTCGCAGCAACTTTGTATCAGTCATGTCGCCCTCTTGGAGACTGACAGCCGGCTCGGCCCAATGAGAAGCTCGCCTGACCCGTGCAGCGTGGAGCCTGGCTTCCCTCCGGGCCAATGGGAAGGGCTCAGGGGGGCGGGAAAGCAATCTGAACTTTATGTGGACACGTGACCCGCTTTAAAAGGGCCGGCCCTGGAGCTGGCCCACTCGCCCTCCGGGCTTTCGCCCGCCCTCTTTCCCTCCCTCCCTGCTTCGCCCGCCCAGGCCCTGGCCCTGGCCGTGGCCCTGCCCCAGCCCCAGCCTCTGCCCCCTCCTCCTCCACCTCCTCCTCCTCCTCTCCGTCCCTCAGTGCCCCGGGTGTCATTGGACTGGGGAGACGCCAGCCAACTTCTGGCTGCTCGGAAGAAGCTCGTGCAGTCACCTGGGTGCGAGAGCGTTGCTGCTGGGCTCTCCTGCTGCAGGGAGAGCGGCACTCGCTGGCCTGGATGTGGTTCTCTGTGAGGGGGCTCCGCAGCGGGGGTGTCGTGGCGTAGGCGAGCGCTGCAACAGGTAGACGCGAAGAGACGGACCCCGGCCGAGGCAGGTGTGTAGGGGTGCGCGGCGGGGCGCCGCTTGCCGGTCTCCGCTGGCGGCCGCGGCGCGGGAGCGTGCACTCTGCAGGGAGAAGTGGCTGCGTAACCCGGAGGCACCGTCAGTAGGGTGCTGTGTGCTTGTTGTTTTGTTTTGGTTTTCCACTTTTTCTCCCTTTTGGCCGCCAGAAGACTATTTTGGGAAAGTTTGGCCACTTTGGATCAGTGCCCTCTGACGAGCAGCTTTCAACCGCCTCTGGCAGTGGGAGGTCTACCACCCTCCCTTTCCTCAGAGATGTGTTTCTCGTCGCTTTCTTTGCACCCATTTTAAAGGACGTTTGAATAATATTTCTTTGCTCTATCAATTGCGGAAGCACCCAAATCTCAGCTGGAGGTGTAGCGGAATAAGGGCAGTTGAAGGAGATACGGATACTGATAGGTACTGGTTGAAAGGCGCTCTGGGAATCCGTGCACTTCCTTTCCTTGAGGTTCACGAAACTCCTGAGAAGAGGCTTTGCTTTCTGTGGCATCAGTTGAATTTTAGGGCCAGGAGTGAAGGAGATGAAGCTGCTCTGGGGGACCTCGTTCCCTTTCTACCGATTTTAGGTGCGTGGCTTTTCCTACCGAATTTTAAGGGACCCAGGTGTAAGTCTTAGTGGTTAATGGCACCGCCAGGTTTAACTCTTTATTATGGCACAGAAGTTGGGAAAACTTTTGCTAGCAGCGACGTTTTGGAATCGCTGGCTATCGAATACCTTCCATTGCTTTCAAGCATTTGTATGGCCATTTCTCCAGGTGCTGTTATTGACGATATTTACATAGTAATGATAACAGCTTCCTCCATCTGTGAAGGTGTGCTGTGAAGTTTTAATTTTATACTTGACTTCATGGCGCGCTATCATGGAAATATTTCAGGAGAACATTTTTAAAAAATAATCTAAGTGGGGAGCTTTTACCTTTAAGGGAAACAGTGTTGTTTGGGGATTTAAGAAAGATCAGGTGGCTCAGTGAATTAGGTGAGTGAATAGAAATCAGGTGTGCTCAGTTCTAACTGGTTCTCCAGCTCTCTTAGGTGACCTTGGGCAGGTTTCTATCATTTACCTCATCTGTGAAAGCGGGGAACATACTAATAGTTATGTAGTGGGCATAACAAAAATAAAAAGTGAACTTTGACGACTATACAGCCAATGAAAATTGTAAAATTCTCAAAGTCCTGTTTTTGAGCTGTCCTGTTAAGAGTGAAATAATTATAGGAAATGTTGCATTGAAAATGGGACTATGTTGGGTGGGATATTAAAAGTGAAAGTATTTTTATGCAAATTTGCAGGAATCTTTGTTAATATTGGGGGGGCAGAGGAAACTACTCAGGGAATGGAGGAATTTAAAACAGACTGAAGCAAAAATATTTCAAAGTCAGGTTTTTTCATATATATGACTTTTGGCAGTGATTCGATGAGTGCTTTCCTTTATGTGAAATTTCTTTATATGGGGGGGGGGGATCACTAGTAGGAAAATTAAGAGGTTAGAGTATTGTCTTTGTCCCAAGAGGGTCTCTGTTATAGTTTCTATTGTAAAGGAGGGAGACAAGTTTGAAGCAATAACAGCTAGACTTGTAAACTAGTATCTGCTTCATTTTATACTTTAGTAACAAAAACTCTTTCTTTTCTCTCTGGATAGTAAATTCTGTGGACATCATAGACACCACTTAATAGTCTCAGCGTCTGCTGGTAAGTTCAGGTTGACTGGACTTTCTGCTCCAGCCACAGTGAGGATACCAGTTCTGAAAGGATACCTGGGTTTCCTGGACAACACAGGAAACAAATTCCTAATCTTGTCCGTTTGTTTATGAGTAAAATAAGAATTGTGAGTGAAGTAATAGAGTTGTGAATTAAAATGATAGGCTTACAAATTAAGTTAGAGAGGAAATGTGCATAAAATAGCTCAGTAAGCCTAAGTTTTAAAAATTCTGATCTTTGAAAATGCCGTGCAGATGTTAGATGTCCTCCGTTCTTTTGTGTTTGATTGTTGCCAACCTTTGCTCTATTTTCTTTGTGGAGAGTTGCATTCAGTTGGTAGGTGAGTTTAAGAAAACCTTTTGCAAATTCTGTAATGATAGCCTCTAGTAAGTGCAGGTTGTTTTACATTATTGTTAAGGGTTTTCAAGGCTGGCGAAACAAGACTTGGAAAGTGGCGACGAGCTGCCTGATGTTAGCTGCTGAGATGTTTCCTCCTAGAGTGTGGGGAGATTGACCTTGCTGCTATGTCCAGCATAGTTTCTCTGCAAATCTTCAGAGCCCCACACATCTGATAATGTTGCTCCAGCCCGAGGGCCAGTAGGGAAAGAACCCTCAGAATATTAGCAGGTGTTCTGTGCAAATCAGTGCAGTGGCCAAATTATTTAGGGAATGTTGGATTAAAAAGGAAAAAGGTTTCTGTACCTTGGAACTCACGGGAGGTGGGTAGGGGGGTTTAGCAGGCAGCTTTATTCTGTGAAACTTCTAAGTAGCAGTAAGAGATCATACTTTCCAAAAGACAATTTGGTGGACAGATTTTTATAGAACATCAGGAGAGGAACCCCGTTCAGACCCAGGGCAGACAGGCAGCCTGTAGCCTGGGACGCAGGCTGCAGGTGTGGGCGTGAATGGCTTCTGCTACCCCAGGGAAGGCTGCCTTTCAGGCCCTTATGGAGAAGGCGGTGCATTTCCCTAATGTGCTTTGGAGACAGTGTTCAATATACAGAAGGTGCTTAGTTTTAAACATGAACAGACAAGTTTTCTAACATGTTCAATAAATTTTTGAACCAGGGACACGTTTCTTTAGAAATGCATCCATTAAGTTAGATATGGGGAGGACAGAATATACTCAGTACTTCTTGGGTAGAAGTGGCAGCCGCACACATGTATAGGTGTTTTCCATTCAGGGCTCTGAGTAAATGACTTTTCTAGGAAGTAGAAAGGCCCTTCTATTATTATTAGTGATTTAGGTCACTGTTCTCTATTATATCTTTGCAGTTTTTCTTTGCTTTCCTCCACTCTAAAGTATTTGACTGGGATTACCTGAGCACCATGTCAGACTTGTAATTTAACATATTTGCCACTGATTTGTGATTAATTTGTGATTAGGAGCTTGTAGAATAGTGAATGTTCAAATGAAATTATGCGCTATAGCTGGTAGACTTCAATGGCCACAACTTGTCAAGTGATGATTACAGTAGTTTGAAGTTTTTATTCGCACTATGTTCTCCGCTTAGTTTTTAGGCGAAACTGATAGGTTTTCTTTTTAATATTTATTTTGCATACAAGAACTGGGGTACAGGCCTGAGGTGTGGGGGTGAGAGGATTCACCAGAGACAGAGTGGGGAGCAGAACAGTTGGATTGATGGAAATATCCTGCCCGCTGCTCCCCTTAGCAGTATAGGAGAGGTCTGCTGCACCATGTGGGTCAGCTCCCTGGCCACCTGGGATCGAACCTGGGCTGCAGTGGCTACGGACAGCTTCATATTACTGCACTTTAACCCATTGCACCACCAGGGAGGGCCTGAAACTGACAAGTTTTCTCTGAACTTAAAATCTAGAGTATGATGCAAAAATGTAAGGTAATTACAACACTTAGACAGTTTGGGCATTCCATTTTATTTTAAGCCTTAGCTATGAAATGCCAATTTCATATATTTATTACATTTCTCTAATACAAGTTCTCTAGCAAATAGACTTTCCAGTTGTGTTCTTTTTAATGTATTGCTGAGTGGAGGGTGAAGGGACAGAGGTAGTGACTGTCAAAGGGGAAGAGGAGGAGAAGCCTGCAGTGAGATCTGTGCAGAACTGCAGACAGCCCGTCTTGGAGATCAGACCTTTCTTTCAGTCAGAGGTCACCTATGCATCTGAAAGGATTTGAAGACTGCATAAAGATTTTATGAATTTAAAATATTAAATATACAAAAAATGTTCAGAAAATGAGTTGATTTCCTTGGATATGCTCTTTGACTTGATGGGTCTCAGCTATGTCTGGAGACCTTGTTGATTGTTAAATCTGAGAAGGGGAGGTGCTGCTGATACCTAGTGGACAGGGCAGGGTGCCCTGAATATCTTTCAGCCCCTGGGACTGACTTCCACTACAAAAAATTACCTGCTCCCCAAACATCAGTAGTGCCAAGACTGAGAGACCTTAGTGGAGACAGAAGTCAGATTCCTGTTCTGCCACTTTGCCCTGTGACCTGTGACTCAGTTTCCTCACTTGTGTCATTTGCATAATACCAACTACCAGGGTTGACTGAGCATAAATGATATATGTGAGAGGCTAATGTTGCTTTGGATGATACAACGGATGATATACGGATGATATTTCTATGAAGAAGTGTGTGTGTGTGTGTGTGTGTGTGTGTGTGTGTGTGTGTGTGCGTGTGAGAGAGAGAGAGAGACAGACAGACAGACAGACAGACAGACAGACAGACATTCAAACAGGGAGCCAGTGCATTCAGTTGTATATTCAGAGTCCTGCGGGGTCCCAGAGGATGGGGCTCTGTCTCTGCTCTTTGCCACTGTAGCTCGGTGATTGGTTGTAAGCCCAGGATGTAACACACACTTGATAAATATTTGTTGAACGAATGGACACATAAATTGTGAAGAGCCATCTTGAACTTCCTCCATGTACTGTTGAGAATAAAAATGTCTGTTGGGAGTGTTTTTAGAAGGACCACTAGGTCAGGGCACATGAGAAAATCCTAGCCAGTATTGAAATACAGACCAGAGTCCTTGCTTTTCCACGTTCTCAGACTCTCTGGGCTCTTAATCTGACTTAATGAGGAGATTGGAAACTTCACCTTTCGAATTAATGTTAAATTCTCTTTATCACTATTTTCAGAAAATCAGTGTTCTTAAATAATTTTGAAATTATTTCTCCTATGACCATTGACTTGATAAATATACATTGGGAAATAGTAACATTAATTGTGTTTCTTTGTTTTTAACAAAGCCATGCATTAGGTATGGGAACAGCTTCCATGTGCTGGAAAGACTCCAAAAGCTTTGGAGTGAGACAATTTAAACTCAGCTGTGCTTACTCTCTCCTTAACCTTGGGCAAGTCATCTACTTCTCTTAGTCCTCAGTTTCATCCTTGTCTGCCTCATCAGTCTCCAGGATTATTTTAAATATTGAATAAGTTCTCACATTTGGAAATGTTCTTTGCAAACTCTAATGCCTGTATTATACCTATGTATTACTTTTATTTAGCTACAAAGTAGTTTTATAAGATTGCTTCTTACATTCTGTCTTCTGGTCAACAATATTATACCAGCAATTTTGAATATAATTGTCAGTGTTACTTTTAATAAGTAGACTTTGGAAATATTTCTAGCAAAGTAACTGCAATTTTAGAGTGTCTTTTGGAATAACATTGCTACGCATGACTAATTTCTTTAATTTAAATTTATTTGCTAGCTATGGAGACCAAAGGCTACCACAGTCTCCCGGAAGGTCTAGACATGGACAGGCGGTGGGGTCAAGTGTCTCAGGCTGTGGAGCGTTCTTCCCTGGGACCCACAGAGAGGACTGATGAGAATAACTACATGGAGATTGTCAACGTAAGCTGTGTTTCCGGTGCTATTCCAAACAACAGTACTCAAGGAAGCGGCAAAGAAAAACATGAGCTACTCCCTTGCCTCCAGCAGGACAGCAACCGTTCTGGGCTTTTAACATCTGATATTAAAACCGAGCTGGAATCTAAGGAACTTTCTGCCACCGTGGCCGAGTCCATGGGTTTGTACATGGATTCCGTGAGAGAGGCCGATTTCTCCTACGATCAGCAGCACCAAGGAGGCACGAGTCCAGCGAAGATTAGCCAAAATGTGGACCAGCTGGTGAAATTTTACAAAGAAAATGGCCATCGACCTTCCACTCTCAGTGGTGTGGGCAGGCCCCTGCGATCGTTCATGTCTGACTCGGGGAGCTCTGTGAACGGGGGGGTCATGCGTGCCATTGTGAAGAGCCCTATCGCTGGGCACGAGAAGAGCCCATCCGTGTGCAGCCCGCTGAACTTGAGTTCTTCGGTCTGCAGCCCTGCTGGAATCAACCCCGTGTCCTCCACCTCGGCCAGCTTTGGCAGCTTCACAGTGCACAGCCCCATCACCCAGGGGACTCCTTTGACGTGCTCCCCTAGTGTCGAAAACCGAGGTTCCAGGTCACACAGCCCAGCACATGCCAGCAACGTGGGCTCGCCTCTCTCAAGTCCATTGAGTAGCATGAAGTCCCCCATCTCCAGCCCTCCGAGTCACTGCAGCGTAAAATCTCCAGTCTCCAGTCCCAACAACATCACTCTGCGATCCTCCGTGTCCAGCCCCGCAAATATCAGCAACTCAAGGTGCTCAGTCTCCAGCCCTTCGAACACCAACAACAGATCCACGCTGTCCAGCCCCACGGCCAGTACTGTGGGGTCCATGTGTAGCCCTCTAAACAATGCCTTCAGCTACGCCCCATCAGGCACCCCTGCCGGGGCCGGGGCCGCCCGGGATGTGGTTCCGAGTCCAGACACACACGAGAAAGGTGCTCCAGAGCTTCCTTTCCCTAAGACTGAGGAGGTGGAGAACGCCATCTCCAACGGCAGCTCGGGCCAGCTTAACATGGTCCAGTACATAAAGCCAGAGCCTGATGGCGCCTTTGGCGGCTCGTGTCTAGGAGGAAGCAGCAAGATCAGCTCAGATTCCCCGTTCTCAGTACCCATAAAGCAAGAACCAACCAAGCATTCGTGTTCAGGCACCTCCTTTAAAGGGAATCCCCCAGTAAACCCATTTCCATTTATGGATGGCTCTTATTTTTCCTTTATGGATGATAAAGACTATTATTCTCTGTCAGGAATTTTAGGACCACCGGTGCCGGGCTTTGATGGGAATTGTGAGGGCAGTGGGTTCCCCATGGGGATTAAACAAGAACCGGACGATGGGAGCTATTACCCCGAGGCCAGTATCCCGTCCTCTGCCATTGTGGGGGTGAATTCAGGTGGACAGTCTTTTCACTACAGGATCGGTGCTCAGGGCACCATCTCGCTGTCACGATCCGCTAGAGACCAGTCGTTCCAACACCTGAGTTCCTTCCCTCCTGTCAACACCTTAGTGGAATCCTGGAAACCACATGGTGACCTGTCAGCTCGACGAAGCGACGGATATCCCGTCCTTGAATACATTCCAGAAAACGTGTCAAGGTAGGTTGACCTTTTCATCTTGTTTTTGGAAACCGGGCTGTTATAAAACGTTGGAAATCAACGTTTTTCTTCACAGTTGCAACTTTAAATATATTTCAGGTTCCTGTTTTATTTGTAAGCTTGGTCAACTGCTGCGAACTAATGCCCCCCTGCATTAGTGTAACGGAAAGAGAAAAACAAAACTTTTTCACCTTCCTTAGAAAACATTGACTTGATTTTCAAGGACAGTATGCAGGGGTGTCTTTCCCCAAGTGCCTGCGGAAGGAGTTTGGGAACAGTTTTCTACTGCCTGTGACTAGGTTGACGTTAGTGACCTGTACTGGGCGACTGCTGCTGGTGGTGGTGTCCATTCGCTGTACACTGATGAGCTAAAATCACTCTAGTTTACTGTCTTTGCAGCCTTAGTTTCTTCTTGGCTTTGTATTTTTTTTTTTCTCGTTAAAAACTTTCTTCATTGGGAAAAATGAAACTGAATCCCTAATCTGTTAGCCACAAGTTCCCCTACACTCTTCATCCCTTTCTAGGTTGGCTAATAGTAAGTTGTGGTTTTTAATACAAATAAATCATTTCCTTAAATGTTGAGGACTTTTAAAGACTCGGCACATCTAAAATTATTAAGTGGACAGTCTTGCTTTCTTATATTGGAAGTGAAGGGTGTCACTGCAGTTTTCAGTTGGTTTAGTTTAACTTTTCAGGTCTCTGTAAGACAATTTTACTATCAAAGATCTCTGGGCTTTCCTTGTTGTAGATTGCACATTGTGTATGTTTCAAAAAAATGAGGAAGAGGTTTAAGATAGACTATAAAGGGTGGTTCTGAGTTATATAATTAACACTTGGGTTGGACTTTGTTTCAGTACTGTTTTTATTGCGTGACTGTGATAAATGATCTTTTATTGAACATATAAACAAGATCTACATACAGTTCATCCCTTTGGTATCAGAAGTATGTGGCTATTTTTTCTTAAACTATTTTGTGGGAAATTGTCTATCTTTTTGATAGGATGTAGGGTTTATTATAGCTAGATGCCTATACCTTCCTCCATTCTGTGTGTGTGTGTGTGCGTTTTAACCAGCAGCAAAAGCTTTAATTTCTTGCTGCTTCCTCCCTTGCATTGACTCCCACCTTGTTCTTCTTGCTTTCCTGGAAGCAAACCCACCATACGGGACACATTCTTACAGCTTTCAATAGCATAAACTACTCACGTTGTAACATTACCTCAGACTCAGATTTTATACTCTAACACAAGCCATGCAATAACATGGCCTTCATTCGCCCACCTCAGTGTGTATTCTGGGAATGCTTAGTTGTACTTTCAGAAAAGGAAGTTGGGAATACGATGCGGATACGTTTGTGAGTGATGCTGTTGGTGAGTTAGTGTGAGGGAGTGCAGCTGGTGGCTAAGACTATGACTGTCCTGGTTCAATTCCCAGCTCGCCCACTTACTGTTTGGTCTCCGCCTGCATCTCCCTTTAATGTCTGACCTGTGGCTTTTACACTGGTAAAAAGAGGATTGAATCGTACCCATATCCAAGGTAGTTAAGACCGTGAAGAGACTTAATTCATGAGAATTCTGCTGAAGAGTAGTGGCATGTAATCTATACTGTACACATTTTTAGCTGTTACTAACATGGCTGACATAATTGTCAAGTCCCGTTTCTTTTGGTTTTATATCATGAATTGCCACAAATCCTTTAAAGAAATATATACAGAAAGGAAATATTTGTTGATCATCTTATGATTAAGTTTTACTGATTTTTTTTTTATAATTAGGCACCATAGATTTGCTACTATATTTTTATTTATGCTCTTTTGTTTTGAAGGCTGTTGCTTTGACTAGTGAAATTTCTAGTAGAAATACTAGAGGTAAAGTTGATAAAATAATTTTCTCATGTTTGTTTCTATTGTTGAAGTGGTAGTTTTCACACTCCATCTATGAAGTTTCTTGTAATCAGTGACCTGTTGCTTTGAACATATAATCTCAATCTGTGAACCTGACTTACTCTTCTTCCATGGGCCCAGGATGCTTTGTCTGGTGTTTCTTCTCGAGTATTCCCAGGTTATTTCTGTGCTTGCTGAGACTCATTCTGCCTGCATACAAACTGTTAATGTTGATATAACTTTTCCTAAAACTTTAGCATCAAAGTTTTCATGTCATTTTAAAGTCTTTTACAGTTTACCAATTCCTTACTTTTTGGTGAATACTATCCAAATCTATTTGCTTTGGTCTTTCTCAGAATAAATTTTCAAGGACCAGAAGATACTTAGATTTGTCTAAATTTCAGCCTGTATAATATTTCTTGATTTAATTTCATCCACAGTTCATCATTAGTTCCTTGTCTTTTTGACCCATGAACAACCCCCTAGCTACTTTGTAATTTATGTTAATACTGATATAATATTCCCCAGGGAATGCTGAATAAATTAACAAGTTATAGATTGGAATGGACCAAGGCAGTACATAACTGCTTATAGGTTAATAGCCTTTATTTTTAGATTGAACTCTGAGCTCTTGTAGACTTCAAAGTTGGTTTGGGATTCCTGAGACCTTTTCAAGGAGGTTCATGGAGTAGAAAGGCCTGCATTGGCTAGAGGTCCATTCAAAATTGAAGAGGCACCATGGACTTAAATGTAATAATGTTGGAAGGTCCAATGATAATGTTCCATTTTCCACCTGGCAGCTAACCTTTAAAAAACTACTCATTGTGGTTTCAAATCTAGTTTCTATATAGCGCCAAAGAATTGTATCTCCACTTACCGGGGAAGACTACTAAAATGTTCCTTTTTCCAACAGTCCATCTGTTGAAGCAGATTATCTTCATTATTTGAATCCAAACTTTATCCCCCCACCCCAGACTTCAATCATAGATATGGAAAGCCAGCTGTTTTCCATTAATTGAGACAATAGACTCACAAACATACAAAACAATGCCACTCCTCTCACTACAGTTTTTTGTTTGGGGAAATCATTTTTTTTTTCATAAACAAGTGTTTATATAAACATGTAGGAATTTATTTTTCAATGATCTAATATAAATATTAGCTTTAATCTCTAATATGGTAAATGGCACTAGCCATAATCCGCATAACACATAAACAAAAGCTCTTTGATAGCCTGAATATGTTTTAAGAGTGGGGAACTGTCCAGAGATACGAAAGTGTAGAACCACTGATCTTGTATAGCCTGAACATTCCTTACAGGTCAGTGAGAGAAAGGGTGTCTCTTTGTGTTGGCCTAACTGCAGATGAAGGTGAGGAGGTAGTGTCAAAGTCAAATAAGTAAAAATGGTTGTAACCTGGATGAATTTTTCAGGCTGATCGTTACGTGCAACGGCTGGAAAGTGTGCAACCTTCCTTTCAGCGGAGGGCTATTCAGGGAGTGTGGACACCACAGTCAGCTGTCTGTTAATGATTTCCAGTGACCGGGCTGTCTGAGCACTAAATGGCAAAGTAAATTATGACAAAGCTGGATGTAAAGCCCAGAATGGACGCCGACCTGCCGCTGTGCGGGGGTTGGAGTTCTCTTGCCGCCTGCTACACAAACAAACTTTGACCTGCAGTGAGTCACAGCTTTTCTGAGCCTCAATTTCTTCATTTCGAAGGGGACAAGCTGAACTGGATGCCGCCTGGGCCTGCCCATGAAACTGTGGAGGGACCCTGTTTTTTCCCCTGCGGCATGGATGCTAAGAATTGAAAAGAGTGGGGCCCTCCCTGGTGGCACAGCGGGTTAGGACGAAGCACTGCAAGCGAGCCACAGCCGCTTCAGTGTGAGTTCAATCTCTGATCCCGGAGGTGACCCGCATAGCGCGGCAGACCTCTCCTCTCTCATCCACTGCTCCCCTCAGCAGTGTACTTCATTGATCTGTCTATTCTGCTCCCCACTCTGTCTCTGGTGAATTTCCCACCACCCCTGCACGTCTGGCCTATTAAAAAAAAAAAAAAGAATTGAAAAGAGTATGTCTTCATACCTTGGTGGGTAGCTCTTAGTTACAAGCCTAGATAGGGAGCTACCAGGATAATCTCTATAGAAAGAGCCCACCTCCATGTTCTACTAGGTAAAAGTGAGTAGGAGTGACCTCTTCATTTTAAAGCAGAGGCTTTTTTTATGTTTCCCTTTTTATGGTACCTGACACTCACCAAGCATTTCTTGTTCTTTTAGTCTATGCTATTCCTTTGGATATGGCGTTTTGCCATTGACACAACATCATATGTGTACAGCCTAGTCATAGACTCTGGTGGCATGACTTTTGAATTTAAAGTTTACTATTCTAAAAGGGACATCCTGGTAGGTTTCAAGACAAGTAATTAGGTACTCATCTTCGTATGGTTTCCCATGAGTGGAAAAATTGAGTAAATAACTTTTTATTGTTCAATTCTCCGTGGGGTTTTGGAAACTCACCTTCTCTCACATGCCAAAGCTTCAAAATTCAGTTTGTCAGAAAGTTTGTCCTATCTTTGTAAATATCCTAGGTCAACATAGACATGTCAATATCTCTATATAATGAAAAAAGATGGAAGAGTGGTGTGGTAGGGGAGGGAGAAGGGGAGATACGGATTACTAGTGCTTACTATGATAAATTACCCATTACAGAATTAACTTCAAAAACATGGAACATCTTATTTGTCTCCTTTTCATTCTGAAATTGCTAATGTTCTTAGACTAGCTTAGCATTTTAATGATATTTCAGAATGTTGAATTGAGACTCATGATATTTCATTCATTTATAGTATTTTTGGTGAAGGTGGTGATAATTTCCTTGAAAACAACCTTTGTGATTTTTATGTACAGTGAACTTTATCCATTTTTCTTAATGTTACATGGACCCTACATTTATATGTCAGGATGTCTTAACTTTTGTCATCTAAGTTAGTGGAATATTTAGAACTGTTTACTCCATGCTAAAAAAATGTCAAGATAGAAGCCATGGTTTCTGTTGAATAGACTCACACTATTCACTTTAAGGCAGTTTCCATAATTCTCCCTTATTCACCATAAGCAGTG